CCCCCCCCCCCCTTTTTTCCCCCCCCCCCCCCCCGATCACGTCGTTTCGAGTCACGTGTACACATCAATCGTTGGTTTTTCGGTATGGATGGCCAGAAGTTTGTACGCGGTGTATTTCTTGATTAGTGGACTGTCTCGATTATATTGTAGTTGTCTTTAAACATTTCATGAATCTAAATAAAATACGTACGAAAACACGCAGACGACGCTGTGGAATTTTTCATCCCTCGAGCTCGATTGAAAGCACGATCCATGTAAACAATAACGAATACAAGGAAGTTCGATTTTGTGGTAATTATGGTATTAGTAGGTATAAGTATGGTATGTAGTAGGTATTATTATGGTATTAGTATGGTATAGTTTAAAAATTCAAAAATTCGGTTTCCTAAAATCAGTACAATTCTATGCTAGATTTTAATAGAAGCGAAGTAAGAATTTCCAAATTTCCAACGCTATTTTATTTTATATTTTATATTTTATATTTTGTATCTCATTTGAAGCTTTAATTACTTGCGAATAAATACTTAATAATTAGATTTGTTGGTAAGCGATTTGAGAAAATTCTCCAAGTTTGAACGTTGACTGAAATAATATATATAACGCATTTATAACAATAATGAACAAATCAAATACGAAACTGGTAAGAACATTTGAAGAATCTAAAGGCATTGTCGCGTTAATTTCAACTCGTTAGGGCGATTCAGCTGTGAAATAAATATCTTTTCACTTTCTGCATATTGTGTAGCATATGCAAAGAATTTTTATTTTGCATAAAAACCATCCGCAGTCTATTGATTAGACTATTCATTTCTCGTTGTGTCTTCGTCGTACGCAACTTTCACGCACTTTTACGTGCCTGAATGACGGCGCACGGTCGTATCCGACTTCGCTCTGGTCTCACAAAACCATTTCTACGGTTGCCCTCGTTTACAATCCTTTCGGTGGAAAGTACTCTCGTCTCTCGCGCGCTGTCCATGCTCGTGTGTTCAGCGCAATTCGCAAATTAGGACGTTCAGGATAAACTGTCCCATTTCTGGACAAGTGCAACTGCGAACATCTCCTTTAAATTCCATAATAATAAACCGAGAAATATGAAACGAGCCTTTTCTACTATTCCGACAGGTTTAGCGTTAACATTTATTCCTTATAATTAACATCGTCAGTCATCTTCCATCGAATTCGCAGAACTCAGTTGCAAATGTCTTTGTTTGCAATATTAAAAAATTATTTTATAAAAACGTGGGAAGCTTTCTTTACATTTTTAATACTTCTACAAAAAAGTCATCATATTTTCGGAAATATTATATTTCTTTTTCTCGTTTCTCGATCTCCGCTTTCGTTTGAAATTATCGGATTGCTTTAGTAATTTCAAAATTTGTCAATGCATTCTTTTTACTTCGCAGTCAGGCTCGTTTGTTCGTTAAATTGAGAACGACGAAAGCAACGAACGATGAATATTGTCGAATTCAAGAATTTCACGTGGCCCACTCGTGGGACATTCATGTCGCTGCATTCGTTATGTGCATTTTCAAGATACCTCATTATTAAACCGCGGGTCATTATGCATGCATACTGTGTAAAAATCTTCAGACGGGGTTATACAAGGTGTCCCCGAAATCGTAATATACGACTGCGAACGCTGTGATTCTGCACGAAAAGAATCACATTTCGAAGCTAATCGCATTTGATCCGACTGAAACTGCACCAATTAATAAATGCAGTAAAATCGCTTGTTTCAGTAATCGTTCGAGAGTGATTTCTAGATGATTTTTGGGTGATTTACAGGCGACCAATCAGGATCCGATTCAGAACAAAGAAAAATTGTCTTCGTTGAAAATATTTTCTGCAGCGTCGCGGAACAGAACGGCACGTTGCAATCCCGAGAAACAACAAGAGAGTCGAAATGACTCATTCGTTAAGGATTAAAGGTATAACCTTATTCTTGCAGCACGTTATCACGCATAATCCCGAGCATAAATTCCAACAAGCACACAGGGTACGTGCTCGAAGCAGCGCTCGATGTGTAAATGTGGCGCAGCGGCCGGCGACAACTTCGACGTTGCATCCAAGTATCCTCCTCTGCAAGCGATCCTTCGCCTTCTCCCCGAATCTTAATCTTTATTCTACATCTACACCAACAACCCCTATTAGCAACGTGTACTTCCGTCGTTTCATTGGCCGAGCCCGCGACCCTTTCGCGCCCTTAACTCGGGAAATGGCCACCGACGCGGCTCTAAATCGGCCGGACTGCAACTTACGAGCAACGCTGCACTTTTGTCCGGCGTCGTACGAGTTCCCGAACTTCATTAGCCAGGACTGTGTCGTCTCGGCCACTCGGATGTTTTCGGATTTGCAGGCAACCGAAACGCGCATCTTTCGTACCCGATCCCATCAAACTTTTTGGCACCGGCGTTGTCCCAGTTTCCGTTGATCCTTTTATTATCCGTATATAGTTTTCTCGGTATTAAAGTCGGTCTTCGTAAAATCGCTGGGTCGGGACCAGTCCCGGAAATGGAAACACTTCGCCGCATCCGGCATAGACTTATCTTCTCTCATTTGCTATGATCGTGCCGCGACCTTGACGCAACGCCTTGCTTCGGACCCGCATCAGCCCGATTGCGAGCGTCTAGGGTTCTGATCGCTCGGCAAGATTGCGGTTCGCTTCTCTGCTGGAAAATCATTGTTATCGAAATACGAATAGAGGTTAACTGGTCTGATTGCTGGTCGAGTTTGACGGAGTTTGCAAGGTGGAGCTGATTCAAGTACCTACCGTTTTTTGGGTTAATTCGGTTGAGTAATATAGGATTCGATTTTGCGAAATAATCGTAGCTGTTTTTCTGCGAAAAAATCACTATTATTGTAACGTAAATAATAATTGACCATTGCGTTAACGGGTTGAGTTTGAAAGAGTTTGCAAGATGGATCTGATTCAAGTCTCTATCGTTTTTTGGCTTAATTCGGTTGAGTAATATAGGATTCGATTTTGCGAAATAACCGTAGCTGTTTTTCTGCGAAAAAATCACTATTATTGTAACGTAAATAATAATTGACCATTGCGTTAACGGGTTGAGTTTGAAAGAGTTTGCAAGATGGATCTGATTCAAGTTTCTATCGTTTTTTGGCTTAATTCGGTTAAGTAATATAGAATTCGATTTTGCGAAATAATCGCAGCTGTTTTTCTGCGAAAAAAATCACTATTATTGTAACGTACATAATAATTGACTATTACGCTTACCGGTCGAGTTTGACAGAGTTTGCAAGGTGGATCAGATTTCATTTTGTTCTCTATTTCGAATGATTAAATAATATAGCATGCAATTATTTAAAAGGATTACATTTAATTCTTCCGCAGGCAATTCATTACTATCGAAACGCAAATAAAGAGCAATCAGTTCGATCACCGATCTAGTTCGACGACGTTTGTCACGTGGATTTAATTGATTTCTCCCTTGCATTTTTGTTCAACAGCATTAATTAACACAAAATTTACTTGAAAGAAATTTAATTTGAAAAGATTGCGGTATTTTTTCCTGGAGAAAGATCGCTATTATCAAAGCACAAATTAGGATCGATCAGTTCGGTCACCGATTGAGTTTGACGAGGATATGTCGCACAGATCCGATCGATTTCTCCTGTGCACTTTTGCTCGACTAGATTCACCAATGCAGAATATAATTGTTAGAAAGAACCGCAGCTGTGTTTTTCCGCGGGCAACGCGTCAATACCGAAATCGAAACGAACCGTTCTCGGTTGCCGATCGAGCCTGACGAACTTCGTCACGTGGATCTGGTTTAATACTCTTCCGCATCTCTGCTTAACCGGGTTAAATAATGCAGCAGCGTCGCGTTCGTTTCATTCCCGCTGACCCTCGACCCACCGGTCAACAATTTCAATTAAATCGCGCTCCGGCATTTATGTCCCCATCTAGTTGTCCCACAATGTTTCGACGTAGCACTTGTACAATTTTACGTGGAGGCTGGAGCGTGGCCGTTGCGATTGAGTTAGCCCAGTGGTTCCAGTTTATGCCGCATCGAATAATTGAAGTTAGAATATCCCCGGAAGGTGATTAATCCCGCGGAAACACCGCGGAAGTGTCAATAAAAATACCGATTAATCTGGATTTATTATTATTATAATAATATTTATAATTATGATTATAATCGGTATTTATTATATATATAATTCTATTATATATATATCTATTATATATTATATATATATATATATATATATAATTCTATTATATATATCTATTATATATTATATATATATAATAAATACCGATTATAATCATAATTATAAATATAAAAATATAATATATATATATATATATATATATATATATATATATATAAAATAAAAAAAAAAATATATATATATAAAATAAAATATATATATAGAAGGTGCGTATATATTTCCATTAAATCCAGATTAATCGGTATTTTTATTGACTTCCGTTTATTTATACGAGATTTATATTATATATATATATATATTATTGGACGATGCTCTGCGATGGGTGAAGGTCCGTTTACATTGTAAAACTGCGAACACGCGATTAAAAACTCGAATTATCGTTATATTCTTGTTGGACGGAGTGGCGAATGGTTGCGTACACGCGAACGGATTACCCGCGTACGAGGGATGATAATAATAAATTGTAATGGAAATCGAACGAAAGGGGAAATGTTTTGGGAAGAGACGGGAACTACGAGACAATAGAAAATTGTTGACAATGGGGCCCTCGTGACAATAGTTTGCGGGGTGCTAGAGTGAACAGCGAAGACCTAACGTTAGAACGGAGTAAACAATAGAGAATTTATAACAATGTAATTCCGCTGTTACAGAAATATCGAGCCACACATTCTTCGTTTTGTATGTTCTTGCAATTCTCTTTCGAATCGGTCAGATTAAATTGAACTATAATTATACCGCATAGAAAATGATAATAACGTTAGAACGGAGTAGACAATAGAGAATTTATAACAATGTAATTCCGCTGTTACAGAAATATCGAGCCATTCATTTTTCGTTTCTATGTTCTTGCAATTCCCTTTCGAATCGGTCAGATTAAATTGAATTATAATTATACCGCATAGAAAATTATAATTATACTTTCTCCCGCAACTCTGATGAACTGCGATCTATTAAAAATTCATTTAGTGGCGGAGTAATCGTTTCGAGCTGCTCGGAAAGCCCGGCTCGCATAGTCGAACTTCTAAATTATTCCACCGTCGACGGATAACAAAATGAAAATGATGGAATAAGTTTGTCGATCGCGGCCGATATTTGTTTCCAATGAGGCAGAAACCATGCAATTGGAACAGGAATCTCCGCGAAAGAAGAATTCCCTCTCACGTTTCGGCTCTCCGCGGAATATAGAGCAGAGTGGGGCAAATATAAAAGAAAGGTGAGTTTGACTTTCGGAAGCGGACTTTCGAGTCATGTGATGAAAGTGGTCTCACGTGGACGGTGCTCGTTCTACGATATTAACGCGTTCATATTGCCATAGCCGCCGAAAATTCCGCGACGTAATGATCTAATACGCGCTGAGAAGTTAATTGAAAAATTAACTTTGAAAGCCGATCGATTCGTCCGTATCGAATTTCCTTGCGATCTGCGAGACTCTCCGAATCTCTGCGAATTAAAAGAGTAATGAAAATAATTGCATTATATAATAATAATAGTATTATAAATCTCTGAACTGTTTAATCTTCGTTTTATCAATTAAATCGCGTTGATTTTATCGAGTTTCCGTGGTCGTTCAGTGGGACACGATCGATGTTATTAACGACGACGACCGTTGTGCGCGGGAATGAGTGAGTTATGACAAATAGTACGCTGTTTTTTTCATAGCCGATGATTTAACCTGAATTCTGTGGATAGTGAGATGCGTAAGGTTCGCCTGCCAGCGGCGTTTTAATTTGTACGTGACATTATTAAACGTATTTAAAGAGGAAATAACGTGATTCAACGGACCGTGAATTGCTTTAACCATGAAGATGATACTAGGGGTGAGTTATACGATTGTTTCATTCATCGTTCTCATTGAAGATTAATTGCTTTCCCGCAAGCTTTTAATTTCACCTTATGCAATTATTTGCGTGAATGGTTTTAATGGAATTTTCGATACTTTTGTTGTGTTACGATAATATGGTTTATATAAACTGTTCTGCAATTGTTTGACTGTCCTTTGTCAAGTTTGTCTAGAAAAAGGCACTTCTGTTGAGAAATAGTTTGGAATTAGCTGAAACTAAAATCCAGTTCTTTCCTTTGAATAATAAATATTAGTAGTAAACATTAGCTTGAAGTAAAAGTATTATATCATTTAATAAAACAGATGTTTCTATCATTTTTTTCTACTTTGACCACACCATTTTTATTTAATTTTCAGTCATTCGACATTTCTTCGTAGAAGTATTCATTTGTCAAGTAGTTTTTTTACATAATTCTATGATAAACTACGTATGAAAAATAAAATAAATGTATCATGAACTTTGGAATATAAAATGAATGAACTTTTGTTATCAAATATTGTTCGATAAAAAATTCTTTGTTAGAACATATATTATAATAGAAGTCGTACTATGTTTAAGTCTATACAATATTGTCATTGTTATAAAACAATATAAATTATATAAATTATATAAATTATATAAATTATATGAATTATATGAATTATATGAATTATATGAATTATATGAATTATATGAATTATATAAATTATATGAATTATATGAATTATGTGAATTATATGAATTATATGAATTATATGAATTATGTGAATTATATGAATTATATGAATTATATAAATTACATAAATAATCGCGTTCGGAGCTCGGCAGTTCCACTGTTAACAATTGATACAAAGTAACGATCGTCGTTGTTCAGGATGTCAGTAACCGAATATTTCCGGAAATTGTGATCGTTAGAGCGGTAACGAAAGTATCGGGACTCTCTCGAGTTCCGTGAAACGACAGAAACGAAATGCCGCAATCAGCCAAGAAATATCTTCTAATTGCGTATACGTATACGTATTCCCCCGGCCGTTTCCCTTTCATCCTATAGCGCGTCTCCTAGGCTGCCATCAACTCCGGTTTCACCGGTTCCGATACTATCTCCGATGCTTATCAGAGCTCGCTGTTATGGTACCGCTTGATTTTCGGAATCGGAGGGGACGTCGAAGATTGTCAGTATTTCATAGAGAGATTCTCCGCAAGCTGACGGCGTTTCGATAACATGAATTGCCAACGGTACTACTATGCAATGTGACGTTCGGAATAGCGATAATAATACTGTATACAGAGCGGCGCAACATAAAAGCATTACGCTCGGTATCTCCGTGACTTGCGGAGATAAGGAAACATTCAAATTCGTATGGCGTCGCTTAGAAATGCAAAGAATATCGATGCTGGCAAGTTATGGCATTTGGGAAATTAATGGATGTTTTGTGATTTCGTGAAATGCTTGTTCGAGTCAAGTAGAAATGCTATTACTCGTTATTTTATAGCGAATTTTTTTTCGAGGAGAAGTTGCAACAGTTTCTAACTCAATTTTAGGTTAACTCAATTTTATATTAACTCAATTTTACATTTAGTCAATTTTAAGTTCACTCAATTTTAACTCAACTCAATTTCAAGTTCTCTTATTTTTAAGTTTACTCAATTTTAAATTTACTTAATTTTAAGTATATTCGATTTTAAGTTCACTCAATTTTAAATGAACTCAATTCTAAGTTCACTCAATTTTAAATGAACTCAATTCTAAGTTTTCTTATTTTTAAGTTTTTACTTAATTTTAAATTTACTTTATATTAAGTTTATTCAGTTTTAAATTAACTCAATTCAAGTTTACTCAATTTTAAGTATACTCAATTTTATATTGACTCAATTTTAAGCTTACTCGTTTTTAAGTTTACTCAATTTCAAGTTAACTCAATTTTAAGTGCACTCAATCCCTCCGAGATTAGAATTAAATAAAAAATGTACTTTTTCAACAGCGATGTCTGCTGGTCGCAATTGTTATCCTGCTGCTCGACATTATCGAAACCGGGGAGGCTTACAAACTGATGAGATCGTACAAGCGTTATAAACGTAGACCGTCGCATCGACCACGATGGTATACAGGTCATGGATCATCGAAGTACTACCATTCGAGGAGGACGCCACCGGAAGATTATTATTCTCACAGGCCTGACTATTATGGGTACGGAACGAACGTAAAAGTTTCACGACGGAAATGCACCGAGCTTCGTTCTATTTTTAAACGGAGGTTCCGATTACAAGTTGGAAACTATACTACACAATTCTAGTAAATTAAATATTTCAGAAATAGTTTAGAAACCTTATTTCGGCGATTGTTCGAATCTCGTCCTATTTGTCATCTTCATTATTATTTTCATCCAATTGAAAAAAAATTGGCAGGCTCAAAAAACATAAGAGTACCGATTGAAAATCGTACGAAATTATGAATTGTGGTCAACATTTGGGAATGGTGCCACCGTGGAACGCGGTATTCGCGAGCGTATAAATCGCGGAAACGTATTCAATTGTCGTGGACAGCATCATTTGGTCGCGTATTCGTACGATTTGCGTAATTAAAAGTTGTGCCGACCAATTTTCCGTTCGGAAACGACCGCTATCGTATTTAGCGGCGAGGCGGCCGCGTTTCCGCTGAGAACGAGGAAACAGTGGAGCAAAAATTAATTTGCTGGTTGGACGACAGTAGAACTCTATCGATTCGATGAAGTGCTGGAACGGGGTCGATGCCTCGGCATTTGACGAATTAAGTTTTTAATTGAAAAACCACGCGTGACTCTTCGCGATCGATTTAGGCTTAAGCGGATTTCTACGGAACACGTTCTGTTTCTATAATTGGATTGCAAATTCGGTCGCCGGCTATTGCTACATCTATTCGCACGTGACCGAGACTAGCAGTCGAAGTAGCAATATTGTTGAGAGTATCAACAATAATTCGGGCTCGGTATTGTTTTTCTCTATTTTTCTTTTATTATTCGAAGCACTCAAATCTCTCGGATATTTATTCGCTTCGCTACACGGACTGTCCCAAAAGTTACTCAATATCGGGATATAAAGGTTCCTCGGGTCATTTGAAGTAACTTTTTCCTTAGCGCAAACGCAATCCGAGGCTTCGTTTACGAGTTATTAACGAAAAACGCGAACCAATGAGAGATCGCGTACGGCTGTTGCCCCGCCCTCGCGACCACTGCCGCTGCGTCAGACGACTAGATCGCGAGGCGGCCGAGCCAATCAGCGGGCTTCGTCTCGCTCGCTGGCTCGGCCGCCTAGCGCCAGTTGATCTCGTCTCCCATTGGTCCACGTTTTTCGTTAATAACTCGTAAACGAAGCCTCGGATTGCATTCGCGCTAAGGAAAAAGTTACTTCAAATGACCTTAGGAATCTCTTCAACAATTTTGAGTAATTTCTAGGACATTCTGTATACATTTAGGAAAGGATTGAGTTAGCCATGCGTTCGCATATTATAAATAACTTAACAAATATTGTAAGCACTACGCATTAAGATCGCATGGTCTAAGAAAAGACAATACATACGAGAATACTCGACGTTTTCAGGTCCCATACTGGTAACGAGGATTACGACGGGCGCGTCGAAAACAAACCTTACACCATCGTTATCCAATTACCGAAGGGCGAAGACAAGTACGGCAACAACGACTATCTAGACAGTAGGAGAAAATACGGGGGAGAGCCGGTTCAGGTGTTTACGAGCGAGAGTGATTACATCGACGAAGAGGATGATATCAAAAGGGATTATATGGACGACGCGAAGGTCGTTAATGTTAACAATAAGAGGGTGCAGATTAAGGTGAGTGGCAGGCGATGTTAACCCTAGAAAGATAACCATATGACAACGTACGTAAAAGATAACCATACGCTTCAGAGGCGCATGCTTTTCTAAGGCGTCAATTTTATACTAACAATGGATATTTATTTAAGTTAATCTAGTCATTTTAAAGGTTTGGCATTATTGTAAAAATAAAATGCATTTATATTATATTTTTTTATATTTTAAGTAATTTTAAACTTAAATCACTAGACCTCTATGAAAAATTAACAAAAATCAACAGTCTTCGCAGGCGCCTCTGCGACGTAGGTTATCTTTCTCGGGTTAAGTAACGAGTCGAGAATCTTTACGTATTTACAGCTCGTGGAAATGTTCGATTTATGGGCCGGTGGCGCCGGTTACTGTGCGCCGGGCGATTACCGTGCCTTTCGTTTATATATTCTCGAGCATAATTCAATTTACATTTATCAAATTCTTAGAGTTATTCTTGCGAGTCTTCAAGACTTATCGAATTCGTTCGTTCGAATTCAATTAATTCTGTATTTGATAAACCAAACGGAGACTTTCTTGACTTTCTTGACTTTCTTAACTCGATTCGACTCGAATCATCCAGCACGAATCATTCACTGTGTCCAGTTGCAGCACGTCCGAAAGAAATTGGGTAGAATATTTCGATGCAAGTTAGCCACCGGACGTCGGGAGTCTTAGCAGTCACGAATGAAATTCTCGAGTTTTGCATGTCGTTTTTCGTGCGAGAAGTTGCGTGCACACGCAAGAGAACGTTTAACGAACGGCTGCGGCGAGCAGGACATTTCGTAGGTAAATGCATATTATATTTCCGATGCATTTTCGAGATTACGAACGTTCTTTATTCCCGACGCAGCGAATAATTTTGATACAATTTTGATGGTTTTCATACCGTTTCTAATCCGTGATCGATGATCGGTGGATTCGTTCGATCGCAAATCGTTTCGAACATGTCTAGAAAAAAAATACGAAACCGAAGCTTGCGCTGTTTACTCGTGAACGGTAAATGTATTTGCAGCGGAGAATTTTCTATCTGTTTTGTATCGCATTCGCAATGTTTCCGTCAGCTTCGGCGTACGCGATCGCGAGACATTTTACGCGATTTATATTTTCTTTTTATATGCTAGTTTTCGCGTCTATTTTCTTTGTCCGGCATCAGTGCAGCGTCAATATTTACTGAGTAAATCGATTTCAAAGCGACCGTTTGATAGTTTTTATTTTCGGAACGAAAATTGATAAAATACGACGGAGCCGGTGTGTGCTTTATGACTACAATAAAAATAGAAATGCTGCAGGGTTTGTTGCAAATATTGTTCAAGTAGAAAAATGGTCAATACTGGACGTTTGAACACAGATTTTAGAACTAGTCCAAGGTAAATTCTCCCTAATTTTCCTTCAGCTTGTAAATTATTATTATTATTATTATTACTATTCGAGCATTACACCTTATTTTTATAATTGTTGACAATCGGAAACTATGAAAATAATTTTTGATTAGAAGCTGAAGGAAAATTGGGGAGAATTTACTGTATATAATTAATACTGACGCAGATATTGTGGTGCAATTAAAGGCAGCAGCTGTCAGATAAATATAAATAAATTTCAGAATATAATTGACAGGTTATTCTGTCATCTCTGATTGGCAGAATGTAAACAATAATTATCCAAAAATACAGTTACATAGGTAAACATATTTCTAAAATGATCACAATCGCAAGGAATTATAAATTGTGTACAATTTNCCCATACTGGTAACGAGGATTACGACGGGCGCGTCGAAAACAAACCTTACACCATCGTTATCCAATTACCGAAGGGCGAAGACAAGTACGGCAACAACGACTATCTAGACAGTAGGAGAAAATACGGGGGAGAGCCGGTTCAGGTGTTTACGAGCGAGAGTGATTACATCGACGAAGAGGATGATATCAAAAGGGATTATATGGACGACGCGAAGGTCGTTAATGTTAACAATAAGAGGGTGCAGATTAAGGTGAGTGGCAGGCGATGTTAACCCTAGAAAGATAACCATATGACAACGTACGTAAAAGATAACCATACGCTTCAGAGGCGCATGCTTTTCTAAGGCGTCAATTTTATACTAACAATGGATATTTATTTAAGTTAATCTAGTCATTTTAAAGGTTTGGCATTATTGTAAAAATAAAATGCATTTATATTATATTTTTTTATATTTTAAGTAATTTTAAACTTAAATCACTAGACCTCTATGAAAAATTAACAAAAATCAACAGTCTTCGCAGGCGCCTCTGCGACGTAGGTTATCTTTCTCGGGTTAAGTAACGAGTCGAGAATCTTTACGTATTTACAGCTCGTGGAAATGTTCGATTTATGGGCCGGTGGCGCCGGTTACTGTGCGCCGGGCGATTACCGTGCCTTTCGTTTATATATTCTCGAGCATAATTCAATTTACATTTATCAAATTCTTAGAGTTATTCTTGCGAGTCTTCAAGACTTATCGAATTCGTTCGTTCGAATTCAATTAATTCTGTATTTGATAAACCAAACGGAGACTTTCTTGACTTTCTTGACTTTCTTAACTCGATTCGACTCGAATCATCCAGCACGAATCATTCACTGTGTCCAGTTGCAGCACGTCCGAAAGAAATTGGGTAGAATATTTCGATGCAAGTTAGCCACCGGACGTCGGGAGTCTTAGCAGTCACGAATGAAATTCTCGAGTTTTGCATGTCGTTTTTCGTGCGAGAAGTTGCGTGCACACGCAAGAGAACGTTTAACGAACGGCTGCGGCGAGCAGGACATTTCGTAGGTAAATGCATATTATATTTCCGATGCATTTTCGAGATTACGAACGTTCTTTATTCCCGACGCAGCGAATAATTTTGATACAATTTTGATGGTTTTCATACCGTTTCTAATCCGTGATCGATGATCGGTGGATTCGTTCGATCGCAAATCGTTTCGAACATGTCTAGAAAAAAAATACGAAACCGAAGCTTGCGCTGTTTACTCGTGAACGGTAAATGTATTTGCAGCGGAGAATTTTCTATCTGTTTTGTATCGCATTCGCAATGTTTCCGTCAGCTTCGGCGTACGCGATCGCGAGACATTTTACGCGATTTATATTTTCTTTTTATATGCTAGTTTTCGCGTCTATTTTCTTTGTCCGGCATCAGTGCAGCGTCAATATTTACTGAGTAAATCGATTTCAAAGCGACCGTTTGATAGTTTTTATTTTCGGAACGAAAATTGATAAAATACGACGGAGCCGGTGTGTGCTTTATGACTACAATAAAAATAGAAATGCTGCAGGGTTTGTTGCAAATATTGTTCAAGTAGAAAAATGGTCAATACTGGACGTTTGAACACAGATTTTAGAACTAGTCCAAGGTAAATTCTCCCTAATTTTCCTTCAGCTTGTAAATTATTATTATTATTATTATTACTATTCGAGCATTACACCTTATTTTTATAATTGTTGACAATCGGAAACTATGAAAATAATTTTTGATTAGAAGCTGAAGGAAAATTGGGGAGAATTTACTGTATATAATTAATACTGACGCAGATATTGTGGTGCAATTAAAGGCAGCAGCTGTCAGATAAATATAAATAAATTTCAGAATATAATTGACAGGTTATTCTGTCATCTCTGATTGGCAGAATGTAAACAATAATTATCCAAAAATACAGTTACATAGGTAAACATATTTCTAAAATGATCACAATCGCAAGGAATTATAAATTGTGTACAATTTATTTATTTTATATTCATTTATAAGATAACTATATATATCCTGGTATAATAAACAATTCAGTTGTCTAAAATTGTCGCGTTACATTTCGACAATCCGAAAGGTGGATCGCGTTGTTCGAAAAGCGAATATATACGCATAAATATATTTGAACAAATGTTATATGAATTGTTGCCATTAAAAAGATACTTTTAACTTTACCAAATTAAAAGAAAGACTTTATATAAAATCATTTATTTGTGCGTTATACTTTAGGGGATTTCAGTGACCTATATTCGATATCGAAACATTCCATTTACCTACATACTTCATTAAAATATTGTGCACTTAACGCGTTCTTTACCGAATGCAGATGATTAAAGGTGAAAAGCCGCAGCTGCATATCAAGATATCACGATCGGACGACGAGCAAGATACAGAATTTATTGACAACGCGAACATCACAGCCATGGGTTTACTAGCCGCGTCGTATGCAAATTTGACGATGTCGATGCCAAATCCTGAGGAGAACTGGACAACGCTAGAACCATCCACGATGTATCCGGAGGACTCCGACAGCAGTCAATTAACATAACAAAAGAATAAAACACCGTCACTTCGTTGCTTTGGAGGAGCTCGTTATCGTTTCTTCTCTCTCTCTCTCTCTCTCTCTTTGCTAATTTAATTTATTTCCGAACAAGTCGCAAGATTTATCGAACAAGTCAATTATTTATTATCCATTGTTTTATTACTCCCTTGCGGTTGTTTTATTTCTTATTTGTTATTTTATTGTAGCTCGTTGTAGTTCGTTGCAGTTTATTGTAGTTTATTGTAGCATATTACAGGTTATTTCAATTTTTCATAGTTTATTGCACCTTATTGTAGCATTATTTTGTAAATTCTCGGCCAACGAGGTTGAATTTATCAAGAAAAAGACGCAAGTATGAATTAAGTATAAATATTTCAGTAAAATGTCGTAAATTTACTATAAGTTGTACTTATACTTACATCGAGAATGTTTAGTTGTCATTAGTTACGATTTGTTTTATAATTTATAATTGGATATAATCATCGGTTAGTGAACGATAATAACACGTCGAAGTAAGCAACTTGACTAAAAAATAATACATTGTTTAAGACGAAATACAATGTCGCTATTTTATTTTTATTATTGTAATATAGCAATAATACGTGTATCGCAGTAATTAAAAGCAGAAAATATTGAAGCGCACGCGGGAGAAACTAACAAATTTTGGCTTTCGTAGTGTTTTTGCATCGAATGCATGAATAGAAACAATTACAAAACGAAACATGGAATCTGCTTTTGAATTCAGTACCTGGCTCGCATCGTTTATCAGTTAGCAGTAGTCGAGAAAATAAATGCTACGGGGATATAGAACGAACCTGGTGGAATCCTTTGAACAATACTATTGATTTTCCTCCGTGCCAGTTTTTCCCATGGGGCATTGTTTCGGAAAAGCACGATCATTCCAATCGCTTAATGGCAGCCGACCATTGTGTAATTAATTGTGATGTCGTCGATTCGACGACTTATGCATCGGCAGAAGCATGGGGACGTTAGCAACATCCACGATGGTCAATGAACATAGAAAATATAAATTATAATTGAAACGTTCGCGACGCTTCATCTTTCATTAAATGTTTCCATTCCTCGATAGAATTTTAAATCCAGCGAAAAAGAAAAAAGAAGTGTTCTAATCGTTCGTTGAATTTTAATCATAGAATCATCTCGCAGGTTTCATTCCGCGTAATTTATATTTAAATGAACGTTCACATAATTTCCACGCTTTCTCGCAGCTTTAATTAATTCGAATAAAGTTTAATCAGCCGGGCATTCAACGTTTATCCGAGATGCGATTAAGACAATTCGCCCTGTTTCCATTTCAACACGTGCAGCGAATTGTTAATTCATCTCCTTCGTCGTGCGTCGCCTATAATTTTATGTTTCGGCATATTTAACGATAAATCGTGCATCTAAGAACGTCGTTCGCGTGCTATAATAGTAATTGTAAACGATTAAAATGTCGAATTAATACAATGTTTCTCGTGCCTCGAGTTCGTCGCGTTCCATTCTAACAACGCTGATATTCCGCTTATTAAATTTTCACGTCTCACTCGTCCGCATAAAAAATGTAATTCCTTCCTCAATCTTAAGAAATAATATCGCACGGCTCGAAGTAATGAACGACCCGGGGCCGGTCGCGAGCGATCCTACTACGACGACAAATGTCTCGTTTTTGTTCATGAAATTTCTCCGGCGGCAAGCGTTTCGCGAAATTTTACGTTTCGAATCATTCGAGGAACCTCACTTTTTAAATTCTATCCTTTCTCCTCGCGCAACTTCGTTTCGGCTGACGTTTTTTCATCTCTTGTTTCCTATCACTACCTCGACGATTTCACGTCGTAATAACTTCGCCTGGCTGAAAATAATGCGACAGGATTCTGTCGAAATTCCTCAAATGATTTCACTGTTTTGCATTTGTTTGCCACTTCGACTCTTTGACTGACGCCTTTCACTAATCCATTTGTGGGTTACAGAATTAATTAAAAATTCAATTTGTGTCGATTCTATTAAGTTTCGCAAGAGATAAGAATGCTGAAAAAAGTAATTGAAAATGCTTCGAGAATTCAAAAGCTTTGAAATTTTTATTCTCTCTCTCTCTCTCTCTCTCTCTCTCTCTCAATCGAATTAAATACCTTAATCTTACGAAACTCTTGAGGTTTTCTGTCGCGACCGTCGAAGTGTTAATTGCATTGTTAATTCCAGTCGAACCACGCCCTTTTATTAAACAAAATCATAATCATTCTCTCTAAGATCTTCGCCACCGACGCGATATTATAAGACGAGGTCTTAAAATACGCGCAGAAGGTGGTCAAGAGTGAAAGAAGATGCATCGAAGGAGATAATAATAAGATTTCAGGGGGGGAGGACGATCGATCAGGGTTCTCTCTCTCTCTCATCCACTTTCCTTCGATGTAGCTTTTATTTCTAACGTAACAGTCAACGAACATATTGCAATAAGAAATAACCGTGGTAATGTACACTGCTATTGCCGCCGTTTCCATTAGTTTCTCTCGCTTTCGTTTCATTCGTTCCTGCGGTATCTCATTCTATTGTTCCACGTTAGCCTCTGTACCTCGTTCGGTGCGATCCTCTTGATAACAGGGAACGGAACGCCGAAAAAGACACTCCCGTGGGTTCCCGGCCGGTCCCGGTGAAAGCCGTGGCTCGTCGGAAAACACGATTTGATTAAACAAATGTGCTTCTTTGCCGGCGGAAATAATCCGGCCCACGGTGAAAACCGCTCTGATACGGGACGCGAAAGACAGCCCGACAAATCCTGTGGTTTCGTTGAATAAATCGACATTGCATGGAAATTATCTTGCGCCCCGGTTGGCAGCACCGCTTCACGCGAATTGTTATAAACATTTTCCGAACGGAAATTCCGTTGACAGAAGCATGTCGGAAGATTGATACGCGGATAATCATTTTTGCATTCCGGGTCGATGTATTTTCTTGCTTAATTTGACTTCTCGGCGTCTCCTTGCGCAAAATGAAAATTGTCTGCATTAATAAATAATAATAAATTAATTAATAATAATTAGAAATAATTAAGAAATAATTAATTATAATATATATTGTAATTACAATATAATATATTTAGTAATATTTAATTTTAATTATAATATATAATATATTAATTATAATAATTATAATATAATATATTTAATTTTGATAATAATCATAATATATTTTATAATTATAATATATATTATATAATTGTATGATAATATAATTAAAATAACAATTAATAATTATAAAATAGTTTCTTTTCCGAAGAATTTTAACGAGTTGCAGACAATACGCGTTTTTAAGTTCTCTGAATATTTTTATCGTTTTCTAGTCGACCGATTAACTTTTGCCATAATTGCCTCGTACGAATAATCTGTGCTCTTGTTTTAGTTAGGAAAATGACCCTCGGCGTGGATCGCTCTATGATCCGAGATGCGCCATGTGAAATGATGTAAGGAACTGAATATATGCTGGGCGTCTGCAGATTTAATTAAATTTTCGATGTTCTCGAAGATAAAAGGAAGCTACGGAGCGCACCTCGCGAGCGTTCAATGAACTTACCGCTTAAAATCTTTCAATGCTGAAAATTACATTCGCCTCGCCTTGAAAAGTTCACAGACACTTTAATTTCAATTACGAAGTGCTTCCGCTGATATTTTTCGGATTCGTCGCTTTTGCCTACACGGTTCATTCGAAAGGAAATTAAATACGAGCTCTGCTCGGCCAGGAAATGTTCCTCGAAATATGTCTGACGGATACATCTTTATAATAGCAAGAATCGTGAAAGAAAAAGATCAGAAATCAGCGATTTTGACTGCTTAAATAAACTGCTTTTGATTGCTTAAATAAATAATGAAAACTGGAACTCAATTTAATGCAATTTTCTGGAGAATGTAAATTGTCTTAACTGTTTGCGAAACAAATAATTCGCATACAATAAGTTAATAACTGGCAAATAATAAGTTAATAATTGCCACACAATAAGGTAATAATTGTCACACAATAATAAGTTAATAATTATTAGCATCGACAAAGAGAATCTTAATGAAATCGAGTCGAATTTTCGAAGAGACGAATTCTCTTTTTTTACGCAAGATTTGTACAATCAAGAGTGAAGAATGAACTACGAAGTTCGCAGGGGAATCGGTACGCCTTTGTTCGGACCTGAGGCAGTCGACGCTGTCTGAAATATGACCGATGACTTTCCTAGAAGATTTCCTTGGCAGCCGCGGTTCGTTTCTAAGCAAAACCTTTCGGCTGCTTCTCGTCGGTTTCCGTAATCGTTTCCATCGATTCACGTCAATCCCTTTAGGAATATTCATCGTGGAACGGTGATAATCGAAAATCGATGGGGAACGTCAGTAGTCAAGGTACACAAAGGTTGAACTAAGACCTGACACTTGATACGCATTATATTGGCGCACCGTTCGCGTTCGCGATTAAAACAACGATCGGCGCGGTCGCGGAACAAAAAGGCGCTGTCCGCAAGAAGTTTTTGCATCTCTTTGATCCGAGTGGCATAGGATACTCTTGCGATCGTGGTGATTTTAGGATTCCCGGTGCTGATCGACGGAGGGCGGATTTTATGCATTCGTGACCGAAATGAGTCGGTTCGATTTAAAACAATAGAAAGATCGCGTTTGAAACAGTGAAAAGTGTTCGAACGTGGTCGTACATTATTTCTAATTCGCTGAAGATGATCATGAGAAAATGACTACTCTTACATTGTATTCTATACATTGTTGCACTCGATGAAAACAATTTTTATAGTAATTGTTATCAAAACATAAAAACCCATTGGTTAATGAATTAATTCGTGTCGATACTAACAAAATTTTAGATTAAAACGGTATAATCGCTTAAACCAAGCAAAAAGGTTCACCAATTAAATACAATATTATTGCAAATATAACAGTGATCACACACTGGTTATTATACTATAATCCATGTAAATATATTCGACTTTTTTATTGTACTCGTGCGATGGCTATATAAAATCTCTTGCTTTTTATTTCTTCTTCTATAACAAAAGATTCCCTTTATCTGTGCGCATAAATGAATAAATAATAATAATAAACTAGTTCCTCTGTCACCCTAAAAAATTTCTCAAGTAACACAGAAGTTGGCAAATAAACTTTTTTAAAAGTAGAAATTGTACACGATTATTACGTGGTTAAATAAATATGAAACGCTATTTCCATACGTTTAACACCATTTCAATAAAACGTTTATTTGCCAAATTCTCTATTCCGTGAGAAGATAAAAATATTAACAGTCTATTAGCTATTTTAAAAATCCATTTCTCCCAGGCCTGCTTAAATTTATGACCGACAGGTTCACGTGCCGGCCGCACCGTCCCGGAAACAATATTATCGGTTAAACAAATTAACGGGGCCGGCGGTTGTAGCATGAATCATCAGCCGCGACCGGCGAGCATCGTTCCCGTCCGCTTTGTACGCGACATATTCCACGGTCGGATCCGCTCGGAAATGCCGAGTGCGCTCGCAGGAAGAAAAAACATGTTTGGCAAATACATTCGGCACGGTCTCCATTCGTATGTAAATAACTCGGCCTAAAATCAAGCCAGATATTTGCCGGTAGACCGGTCTCGCTGCCAATATCGACGAGTCCGCGGAACCGGGACACATAGGGACCCGCACGTCTCATCCCTCATTACGCGAACCATAATTGCCGCTCCGACGTACCCGCCGCTCTTTAAACTGTACCATTTCGACGTGATCGATGCAGCACGCGCTTATTATTACACGCTTGGAAATCGGCCGAGCAACCGTCCGGTATTCTTAAAAGGCTGCAACTCTTCTAAACCGGTTGAAACGATCGAATGTTTTTCGGTGAATTAATCGGCGACCGAAAATAATAGTAACGATAATATTTATCGATATTTATTATTTTTTTCATCATTATTTTATTACTATTTTTATCATTATTTTTACTAATTATTTTATTACTGTTTTTATCGTTATTTCTATTATTATTTTATTACTATTCTTATCACTATTTTTATTATTATTTGTATTATT